TGTTAAATTTAGCAAAAGCAATGTCAATTTTGAATTAAAAGGAAGCACTTTCTAGAACAGTATATACTGTAGTAATTTAATGATAGGAACTAAATTCATTCTAAATAATTAATTTATGTTTTGCTAAAATATTTATATATTATGCTACTTTTTTTTTTCATAATATAATACTATTCTGTTAAGTTATATTTAAATGCATAATATTTTATGTACACATAATATTTAAAGTATATATTTATTAAATATTTTATTTATAAATAATTAAATAAAATTTAAATGATTTAACATTTTTTTCTTTAAATATCTTATTCAGATTTACTCAAAAATATTTTAATTTAAATATTTTTTAACATTTGGAAAACATTTAGTAATAAATTTGTACTTGTTCCTTATTGCAGTTTAAAAAAATTGTATTAATAAATGCAAAAAAAATTAAATTTATTCAACTATAAATTCAAATAATTAGGAAAAAAATTTAAAGTATTTTCCTATTAAAAATTGATTGATTTTTATTTATGAATTTAGATCATTTCAGATTATTTAGTTTAATTAAAAATATTTTTTATTTATAAGAGAAGTTTTGAAACTTAGTTATTTCATATAAGTATCTATGTTTTTCTCTAAATGTCATTTTATATTCTTCTTCTTCTTCGTGCCATATCAGAATACTGACGTCGGCGACACCCGGCGCAGATTAATAATACGCCAAGGTGTGTACTAGGGAAGGTTAGTACCCAGAGTGGTTTCCCGTTGCCTTCTCTGGGGCGCGATGGTACGCGAGGGGAAAGAATGCCTTCCGGGAGGACTTTTATGGGGAACTGGCCTCCTATTTAGTCGTTATCGGCAAGGAGAAAACCCAGAAAACTCCAAGCAGCCAGCCTGTCTGATCGCGGCGCGAACCCACGACAGAACTCCCAGTGTTTAGGGTACGAAGACCGCTCGGCCACTGGTGGGCCATTTTATATTAACTAGATTAATTTGATTTCTTATAAATAGCTGTACAATATTAAGTTCTCAAGATTAAATTTGCATCTTGAAATTACTTGTATGAAATATTTTCTAACAATTGCCAAATCTACAATTTAATTAATGTAAAAAAAATAATAGTAATCTATTGTGTTACCTTCAGAATAATAATACTAATAATTATTATCATTATGCTGAAGGTAACATAAAATATTATTATTATTATTATTACCGAAGGCCAGAACTGTTAAATGTTTCAAATATTAGAATAAGAGAAAATACATTGTTTGTATTAATATAACATTTTTTTGGAAGAAATTACTTCCCAATGAATTATGGATAAAAATTTTTCCACTTATAATTATCTGAATAACAAAAAAACGAGAGAAAATTTCTTATTATAAGCTAGAGTTCAATTTCGCTCAATTCTGACAATAATACTTAGATTTTCCTCATCTAAGTATTATTGTCATAATTGAGGGACCAAATTGCAATAATAACTTGAAAAATGTTTAGTATCTTCACATGAAGAGTTTAAGCAATATACAGTCTGTTTTATTGTATTGTTTTTTAATGTATTTGTTTTTTGCTATATTTGATTTTGATCAGTTTTTATTTTTTCTAAAATTCTTTGATTAAACCACTTGTATTTTAAATACTAAAATTAGAAATAATTGAATGTTTTATTTCTGTATAATATAATTTTTATATTTATAAAAGTTGTGAATCAATATATTGTTTAAATTACAAAAATTATTTTTTGAGTAGGTTTCTAAACTTGCATGAATAAATATAATTTATATAAAATTATTCAAAATTTTTAAACTTAAGTATTTAACTTAGTTTGCCCAAGTTTATATATTTAACATTTTGTTAATGAAGGGGAAAACGTAAATTGCGAATTTGACAACTCCTTTACACAAAATATACATTACTGTTATATTTAGTTTTACCAAAACTTAGAAAATTTGTAATTGTCACAAATATATTGATTATTACAAATTATGACAGAAGTTATAACATATTTAAAATATTGATATGAATTTCATAACTACTATGTAATATATCATTTTTGATTTAATACATAAATACAATTATGAAACTCCAATTGCATTTTTGTAAGGAGGAAGGGCATTGAAATTTTAAAAGGAACACCCTTTAACTCCCAGAAATTTGATGTGAATGACTGATAAATGTTACACCTATTGAGTCTTTTTAGTATTTAATTATTTTATCTTACATTTTGTCAGAAAATTCACGAAAGGTGTAAATTGATTTTAAACGTATGAAAACTCTATCATCTCGTTTTCTAATTCTTGTTTAATCTTTAAAGATTAAATTTAACACAGAAAAAATTCTAAAATAAACTTAATTTTCCATTGTTTTTAGAATATATGATTTGAATTTTTGTTCAACCTGTTAAACTTTAAAATATAATTACTAGGTAAAGTTATAACATTAATTTATTAAAACACAGTTAAATTAATGATTGTTCTATAATATCTCATATCAATAATAAAATTTATTTCTATTTATTAATTTTTATCAAAAAGCAATACATTATCAGGTTTTTAATTTGGTTGCTAGTAGACTCTAAGGGTCAGCTGATTTATCAGAGGGTTAATAAATTGCTAGAGTTCATTTGGGGATTAGTGGTGAAATTAATGTTCATTATATTTAAAAATAAATAAAAATAATAATTGATACAATATGTATTTAAATATTTATGCATATGTGTGTGCACATGCATTTGTATTATTAGTAAAGTTTTAACTAGTAATGCAAGTGTTCATTTCTTATATATAATTAATGACATAAATGGGGCTCTTGCATTACTAGTAAAACTTCAATACAGTAGTTATAGAAACTGGAAAACAGAGAGACATGACCTTCACCTAAGAAATTATTTTCATAACTCATTGTTTCCTGGATTATATTGGACATATACAGGTATGTTGTTATAATTAATGACAAATACCTTGTACAAGTATAGAATTAAAATATGATTTAATGTGATAAGATCATATACATTTTTTATTCAGTCAAAATCATTTGGTTATTGCTTTAATTTAACAAATTTATTTTTAGTTTATTATATTTTATATATTTTGGGAAGTGTGAAATTTAAATTTGTTACTGATCAATTGGATAAAATTAAAACAAAGATGAAAGAAAATAGAAGAAAGAACAGGATATTAGCATGCTAGATATTAAATGATATATCTTCTTTTTCAACCCATTTCTAACAGGGATATACAGCATTTTTTGATTTGCAACTCCTAAACTGGATGCCTTAATTATATATATTTAATTAAACCTCAATTTTTATTTTATAATCCTTTTCTATAATCCTATGGATTTCTTTTAAAACTTTCTGTAGCAAATACTTTCAAATTAAGAGATAACATACAAGTTTTTCACATGTTTATTAAATCTATTGTTTATAGTTACTTATTAAAACACTCAATTCTTTTAAATATTTTTATATATGAATATAGTTAGAAAATTATAAACTTTTAAAAAATTTTTCATATAAATTAATGAGTTTTTTAGTAACTAAATTTGCTGTGTAATCAAATTTTTTGGAAGAAATTTTTTAATTACAGGCTTTACTAGTTTTTAATAATGTGTGGGTATACAGGGTGTAGTCACAAACACTTCACCAGCCTATATCTCATTTTTATGTAATAAATAAATATAGTTGTATTGGAGTATAGGTTATTGATAGTGTTTATTCGTAGTCCCCTTTGAATGGGGAGAAATCTTATCTTGGATTCTATGAAAGATAATTGCATAGTTTAAATTAGTTGTAGTATCTCAAGACCAGTACAAAATATTTTTTGTTCAGTTAAAATACTCTGTTTAAAAAATGAGTGCTGAAACTGAGGCTTTGGTAATGGATATTACAGTCGACCCCCGTATAAGATCATTGATTATTCCGTTTTATATGAATTCCATGTTGTACAAGTCACTTAAATTTTACAAATACGTGAGCCGTTCACAGCCCGGTACACGTATTTGTAAAATCTAAGTGACTCGTACAACATGGAATTCATATAAAANGAAGGACACTTGAAAGTAGTATATTTAAAATATAAAAAATACCATAAACCCAGTTAACAGAGAATATTTTGTTTGCTGATGTTTTCTTCCTATCTAGGCTTGAAAATTATAAACAAAAAGTTTACATTATTTAGAGATATGTTTAAATAATTTATGAATATTGTAGAAGAAATTAATGTAGTGAAATAAAAGTTAACATTAGCCAAATAAATATGTTGTCATGTCTATATATCAACATTTGTGTTGTTAAGACACTATTAATTGTTGAATTTTGACATGATATATATTGAATATATTGTAAATTTTAAAAAATTCTATATAATAAATATTTTGTTTAAAAATGCCAAAATGAATTTTCTCAGTTTTTTAAATGTAATATTTATATTGTTTCATAAAACTTTGCTGGGAGTTACACATTATTTGAATGGAGCTCTAGAGTGTAAACAGAGTATATGTCTGTGACCTGACTGTACTTCACATCCTGTTAAATTTATGTAACCTATGTCCTTCACTTACTAACAGACTCATCTTTACTACTGCACATTACAGCAGCCTGATTGAGATTCATGAAATTATTTATATATTTACAAATTTCCAATTTGAAAATACAAAATTATATAATATATATAGATATAAATATAGTTTACATTTCAGCAATGTTTAAGCTCATAAATAATCTTAGATATCTTTAAGAATTTTGTTTTTATTAATAATTGTTTGCTGAGAAATTTAGAAATAATGTAATTAAACGTACACAAATTAGGCATCATAAAAAGTTCAAAGTACCACATATTTTAAAATTCTGTTATTTCAAGAAAATTGTTTAAAATTATTATATTATATTATCTTTTTTAATTAACTACTTTGATAAAATTTTTACTTTAAAATAAATAAATAACATATTTTTAGAGTTTCTTCAGAATTCAAAATTATTTACTAAAAATAGTAATAATGCTTATTCTTATTTTTAGCTTTAAAATGCTACTGCAATACTTGCCCCGAACAAAATTTTACTTGTGAAACAGATGGACTCTGTTTTCTTTCCACATCAAAGGCCGAGAACGGAGAAATTACTCGTACATATCGGTAAGAAATTTTCATTTATTTACTTTCAATTTTTCAAAATAAATAATAGGATATTGACACGTAACTTTTATTGTTTTAAATATGTCGTAATAAAAGTGCTGAAGTTTTTGTAAATAATCTTTGTACTTCTTAGTAATAAATATAGAATTAAATTGCATTTTCAAGGCAAAAAATAATATTTTGACAGTTTTAAAGTAAATTAACAACTGATCCAAGTATATGTATTTTTTTAAAAAATATATAAGCATATAATAAAGATAAGATTGATTTTTGATCATAAAATGTATCTATGCCAAATTAATTAAATGAGGAGATTGAAATTTATAATGTAGAATTATAAGAAAACATAATTTCAGTCATGAATAGTTTGTTCATACTCAATAAGGAAATAATTTTTTTGAAGTGTGAATAATTCTAAAATAAATAGTTGTAAAGTTCAGTTGTTTAGTATATAGCCATTTACTAAAAATCTTTGATTATACTCAAATTTAAATCGTTATGAATGTTAATTTTTGAATTATAGCATTAATTATAATAAATCTAATGTATTATTATTTATATTATTTTCTTTTATTTGTTTTAGCTGTTTGAATACTAGCAAAAATTTTCCTCCAGAAAATCCGTTGGTTTGTTATACTTCTGCCAGTTGTTGCGGAAATTATAATTTTTGTAATAGGGATCTTCAGTCAGCTTTTCCTTATGAACAAGGTCAGTTATTTAAATTTTAGAACATTATTTTTCAATATTTACCATTGAAATGTAAAGAATTAATAAAGTAAATAAATTTTTAATTTCTATCCATTATGAACAGAGAATTATTTTTTGAAAATTTAATAATAGCTTGGTGTAACTAGAATTTATTTAAATTTTTAAAAGTTAATATTTCATTATTTCAATTTTTTACATGAAATATTTCAATAGGAATATTTGCTCAAATTAATGGATTAATTGAGAAATTGCAGCTAAATAAGCACGCTACTGAGATTGCAGATAATAAAATTTAATATCAAATATTTTTTTGTTTTTTCAGTTGAGCTGTGGTGATAATATAATAAATGTTGAATGGTAATATTTGTTTAATATTTTGACATTTTTATTGTGTTTTATTCCGTCCAAAGGATGTTAGTCATTCATTTACATTTATTGCTATTGTGATTTCCTTGTGTGTTATGTATATATTATTTTTAATATTTAAATCTAATTGTAAATCAGAAGTGTTTTGTTTGTGAATTATTAAAATTTTTAATTCTATAACCTTAGAATAAAATGATAAATTTATATTTATTTTATTAAATTGTAAAAGTATTTTTAGTTTTAATGTTTAATTTTCATAATTTAGAACTATTTTCTTATATATAAAAAAAGATCCTGTTACTATGTGTATATCTGATTATTTTAATTGATGATTCTCATCTTTTGGATATAATTACACAATTCATTTTGTTGTTTTCAGATTTAATTATATGATATGCCATATCCTTATTACTTTACAGATGTAATAAGCATGTGACAAATGATCCTTTAACAAATGTTTTAATGAATTTCAGTNATGTTTTCTTCCTATCTAGTATCAATCATAAAACTATTATCATTATCATAAAAGAAATCTATTGTATTAAAGAAAAAATAATAATAAATAGACAATAATTCCTTAATTAATGATGGAACAAGAATTAAAACAAACATGCAAATGTTTCTGGCTAATTTACCATCTTCAAGCATGAGAGAAAGTAATAGTTCAGCTGTTTTTTGCTAAGCTATTATATACAGTTGAATCACCAATTATTTCCACCTCCTAACAACAGACATTTTTTCAGGAATATTTCTTTTTTGAAATGCATACAAAATAATCTCCAAACAACAGCCATCTTTTTTGTTCCATCAATGATTCAGAGGCTTGACTGTTTTGAAACAGTTATTGTATTTTGTATAGATGATAATATAATAATAATTTACACAGAAAAAATTGTTTATATCATAAAATAAATGGACTAAATTCTTTAAAATAGGCTGTTAAGTGTGTGTGTGTGTGTTTTTTTTATACAGAAATGGGACAGAATAACAATTTCTTTGAGCCAATTATTTTTGTTGTTAATATCTATAAAATCATTCTAAGAGTTCTGATTTTTGGTTAGGAATGAATATTCTGAATCAAATAAAATGAAGAAAACTTTGAGAATTGTTTGTTATTGATACATAAAAGGCAAAACATTAAATAACTTCTTAATCACTGTTATATATAAATTTTAATACAAAATATATAATTCAGTTCATTTTACTTCAAATTGTTAATATTCCTATAATCACATTTATCCTTTAAATCACGGAAAAAATATTTAGTAATAAGCCTAATTATAAAGTAAATAAACTTTATAAACAAAAATAAATATTAGAATGTTATTTTAATTGATGATTCTCATCTTTTGGATATAATTACACAATTCATTTTGTTGTTTTCAGATTTAATTATATGATATGCCATATCCTTATTACTTTACAGATGTAATAAGCATGTGACAAATGATCCTTTAACAAATGTTTTAATGAATTTCAGTTAAATTGATATATTCAAGTTTTCTTATTGACTAAATTATTTTCTGTACCTACATACCTATTCATTTTTTATTTAATTTATAAATTATAGCCATTTAAAATTAAATTCTGAATGATAATTGATGCAATTTATCTTGATTGTTTTTTCTTAAAAGAACAAACTGATGATAAAATTGTACTGTATTGAATTTAATTGCATAAAAGTATACAGTAGGGTATAGTAGTCAGATTGAAATCATGTGTGCTTGTGCGCATGCATGCACTGCTTCATATTCAAAATAATTTATGCTATGCATACACTTGTGCACACAAGCACACATGTCTACGTAGTATTAATAATTTCTAAAACATAACTGAATGTTCTTCTTTATGAATTAAATTAATAGATTAAATTCTTTAAACAAGTTTGTTAGGTGTGTTTTTGCAGTAATGGGTTATATGCATGATTTTGTTTTTAACTATTTCTACTATTAATATCTATAAAATTTAACATTTTACAAGTATGAGTTTTTGTTTAAGAATGCATGTAATCAGTCACAAAAAGCACAGTTTTTAAATGCCATCGACATACTTAAACTCTGACATCATACAACCTACACTTTCCATTAACACACGGAAATATCTTTCTTTATCTTTGCAAAAAGTAATTCTGATAGTTGGCCTTGGCCTGCTCAGTGGCATATTCCAGGGTCATTCTATATATATATATGAGTGAATCTTTTTTTTTTATATTAACTCTTTATCAATCTACAGATTAATTATTATTAATAATATATGTGTTAAATGGCAAGAACTTATCTTTTAATTAAATTGCTTCAAATTAAATTGTAGATAAATATATTTATAAAGTTGCTTTTTAATATATTTCGTGCAAGAAATGAATTATAATGGAAATGGAATAAGATTGATTTTTTTTTTCAATTTAGAAAAAAAAATATTGTATTAAATATTTTAGAGTGATAGATGAATAAAAATAAAAGTGAAGCGTGAAATCTGGAACGTGTGTGTAGAAAATATGATATATATTGTTACATCATTACATAATAATTGAATTTAATAAAAATAAAATTAATGTAGAACAAATGCTTTCATTAACAGTTACTAAAAATCTGCAATCAAATGCATAAAAATTTATCTACAGTTTAACTTTTTTTAAAATATGATACGAATAATGATTAAATTTACTTTATTGCTGTTTTTATCTTGCTTAGAACATAATACATATATATATATATATTTTAAATCATATATACAATAACATTCTATATTTTGTAACTATTGAATTTTATGTTATATGATTTTCATCTGCAATCAGACATTATTTTTCAAGTCAGCCCACATTTGAGTTGTTTACATCAAACATCTTTTATGAAATGAATTAGTGAAGCCTTCATATAAAAATATTGAGAGATTTTGTTGTTGAAATAATTTTATTTTCTAGTCAATTTTCTTCCTTGTCTCGTCAAAGTTACTACAATGTGTAATAATATATCATTGAATTTATTGAACCTAAAGTTGTAATTATTTATTGACATTAAATAATGTTATTTAGGTGCTTATATTTTGAATACCATTTGTTTTTAGATGCATGAAAATGAATATATATATATTTTTTATTTATTTAAAAAGCATCTCCTATCCAATTTATAACTATTAATTCACTGTTAAGAATAATACTAATTATGTATTTAAATAAACAATACATTAACTACATAGACATGCATTAAAATTTAATAGTTTTTTAGATTTAATTTTCTTTTATGGTACATGTTTTTTACATGTTTAATATACTATAAAATTGATTTGTTCCATTTATAATAAATTTATCATTGATTATTTACTCAGAAACTGTTATACATATTTATTTCACTAAATAAATACTTATAAATTGTTTATGAGTAAATATTTGTGTATGTTTAATGTTTTCAACAAAAATTGGCAGATATTCTTATATGGACTGAGTTATAGATCATTAGTTAAGTATTAGTTTGTGTTTAATTAATTGCCGAAATTGTTTTTTGTGACTCATAAATAATCTTCCTTGTCTACACTTCTATGAAATATACAATGATATATATATGATAGGAATTATAGATTTATTATTAATAAGTTAGTCATGTTTAAAATTTGTCCAAATTTAGATGACATTCAAGTAAAGTTTATAAGTATTATAACACTTAAAACTTTTGTAGAAAATAATGACAATTTATTATGAATAACATATATATGTGAAATTAACATATGAAAAAGTTTTGTATATAAAAAACCTCACAAATTGAACAATTTTTTTTATTTTAATAATAGTCTTTAATATAAATCACCAAGGAAGTTCTAGAATGCTATATAATTATACTGTACCAGCTAGAATTTCCACTTTTTACTNTTTATTGTTTTAAATATGTCGTAATAAAAGTGCTGAAGTTTTTGTAAATAATCTTTGTACTTCTTAGTAATAAATATAGAATTAAATTGCATTTTCAAGGCAAAAAATAATATTTTGACAGTTTTAAAGTAAATTAACAACTGATCCAAGTATATGTATTTTTTTAAAAAATATATAAGCATATAATAAAGATAAGATTGATTTTTGATCATAAAATGTATCTATGCCAAATTAATTAAATGAGGAGATTGAAATTTATAATGTAGAATTATAAGAAAACATAATTTCAGTCATGAATAGTTTGTTCATACTCAATAAGGAAATAATTTTTTTGAAGTGTGAATAATTCTAAAATAAATAGTTGTAAAGTTCAGTTGTTTAGTATATAGCCATTTACTAAAAATCTTTGATTATACTCAAATTTAAATCGTTATGAATGTTAATTTTTGAATTATAGCATTAATTATAATAAATCTAATGTATTATTATTTATATTATTTTCTTTTATTTGTTTTAGCTGTTTGAATACTAGCAAAAATTTTCCTCCAGAAAATCCGTTGGTTTGTTATACTTCTGCCAGTTGTTGCGGAAATTATAATTTTTGTAATAGGGATCTTCAGTCAGCTTTTCCTTATGAACAAGGTCAGTTATTTAAATTTTAGAACATTATTTTTCAATATTTACCATTGAAATGTAAAGAATTAATAAATATAAACAAGTATTTAAAGAAATAATTAAGAAAATATGCCCAATTTATTTACAATTTTTATATTCTTTAGACAATGTAGTGAATCTGTAAACACCAATTCAAATCTGTAAACACCTTTAGAAAACTGGACTAGAAAGCAAATCATAATTTTTATTTACGAAATAATTCAAAGGATTTACATTATTTATTATTGTTATTGTTATATTTTATATTTCTCATCTTTGGAACAAGCATCAAAGTTTAAACAATTGAAGGGGTAATCATATTTCTCATTGAACGTTAGTAATTCAAAAGAACGTTGTATTTATAAATTAATTTTATTTTTCCTAAAAGTGTTTTGCTTTGTGCAGCTGTTGTTTTCATAAAAGATTGCAGACAATTGTATTAATCTACTTATTTACAAAATCAACTACAGAAATAAAGCATTAGTATCATTGTTTGTTTATTAGTGTAATGTCTATAGACATATAAAATAAAATATGTTATATGTATATATATTAAAAAAATGCTCATTTATTATAATTATTGTGAATAAGTCGGCAAATTTAAAAATATATTTTATTAATGCCGCTGTAACAGAAAGTCAATGTATATTATTATTTTTCTGTTTTTTCTAACTTTTTATAGAAATGTCTTCGTGATTTATTTTTGAATATCATATTAACTGTAATTCGAGTTATTATTATAGTGTAAGAGAAGTAAAAAAATAAATTTAAATATATTTAATGTTACATATCCATGAAGAAATTAATATTTGTGCTTGAGGAATTTAAAAAATAAAGACATTACACATTTTAAAAAAAAATTTATTAAAATAAGTGCTGGTTTATACTTTGTTATGTGTTTAATATTTTAATGTTAATCTCTCAAGAGAAGTTTATCTTAAATTTAAAAGTTTCTTTCGGTACATGGAAATTGCTTAAAAAGTTTGTTTACATTACAAATAAGAATTATTATTTATATATATGAAGTGTTTCTTATGTCAGTGAACTGCTTTATGTTTGTTCGTTAATTTATTTCTTTTGCATGTCTGTTTATTTCTTAGATGATTTATATCTATAGAAAAAAATGCCATTACTCCTTCTCAAATTTAGCAAAGATTTCTTTATGTTAATTTAGAATGTCTGCATTTGTAATTAATATTTATCCTTAATTTTTTTTTGCCCGATCTATGATTGCCATAATATTACTTTTTGAATTTTTAAAAATTCAGGAAGATTTCTTATAAATAAAACATGAAATTTATTGCAATGTAATAGTTTTGTTCTTTTACAGATGAACAAAGTAAAGATACATCTACCTTGGGTCCAGTTGAATTAGTTATATTGATTGGAGGACCTATCTGTGTGTTTTTTATCGCTTTTATGATCGGCATTTCGATATGGCATCAAAAACAGAGATTAAGAAGATACAGATCTGAAGTTGAAGCGACAATTGAATGCGGTGATCAGCCTTACGGACAGACGTTAAAAGATTTGATGGAAATAACCACTTCTGGTTCTGGTTCAGGTAGAAAATAATAGAAACATCAATAAATATTAATGAATTTAATAACAATTAATTTATTAAATAGATTTTAAAGTATATATTTTGATGTTTAAGGTCTTCCTTTACTCGTTCAACGAAGCATTGCTCGTCAAATTCAATTGATAGATGTGATAGGCAAAGGGAGATTTGGAGAAGTATGGAAAGGGCACTGGAGAGGTGAAACCGTGGCTGTAAAAATATTTTTTTCAAGAGACGAGAGATCGTGGTTTCGAGAAGTGGAAATATATCAAACTGTGATGTTAAGACACGATAATATTCTTGGTTTTGTGGCAGCTGATAATAAAGGTTTGTAAAAAAATTTATTTATGTAAGATAAACATCTAAAAGTAACATTAGAATAATTCCACAGACATTTTTATGTACCATAATGTTTTATAATGTCATTAATATTGATTTTATTTCTGATATTAGACATTTAAGAATTAAAAATATGAAACACTATAATAAAACAACAGTATTGAACAAAACATCATTTTATTTTAAAATTTTACTATGTTGCACTGCATTGTAATGGCATATTGTTAATCATGAAATAGTGAAGTTTATTCAAAATAAATTAATGAATTTTTATTGAAAAATTATTTTTATGGGTTGATTTCTTTGTTGTGTTATAAAAAGATGACATTGTTTCATTTATTTGTGAAAAAATAAATGCATTATTTGACTTATATATAGCTGAAGAACTGGATAACAATCAGTTTCTTTTTATTGGTTAGATAAAACAGAAGCATGATTCTTCAATATAAGTAAACAATTACTTGATATTAAATTTACACAATTTATTATTGAGAGCTATGTTAAATAATTTCCATTTTTACAAAAAGAAAAAGAATAATACTAACAATTATAACAATGTTCTAAAAAAACATGTATTACTAAGGAAACAAAAATATTATTTTTGTTATGTATCTAATACTTGGAAATTCAATAGTTATTGAACTTTCATGTTTTGTAATTAGGATTTATCTTTTGAAAAGTTCATATTTTTCTACTAGCATATTAAAGAAAGAGATATTTATTTTCAAATTAATAAAATATGTAAATAGTATATGCTGAATTTTTATGGTGCAAATTTATTTTATACAAATGGTTAAAGTATAACACAAGATGTTTGAGAAAGGTCATTTATGTATTTAAATATCTTTATTATTATACAAATTTATAATGCAAAACGAATGCAGTTTGCGATACAAGAAAGAATACCTCAAAAAATTATTAGCATGCATTCACTAAACCTCTGAATTACACAGTCTCCTACAAAAGGTTTCTCTAAACTGTTCTGTAGATTTAATCAATATCAAAAGGCAACTATAATCTTTTCAGTGTTGAACACTTCCTGTGTTTTTTAAATGTATGCATCAAAGCATAAATTGAAGACACACTTGATGGCATTTTTTTGTACTTCCTATGATACAGTAAAAACTTCTTAGGTGACCACCTGCATTCGATGGGCACCTGTCAAAACAGGCAAAAATTTCTGGCATGGAATTGTTTATACATAGAGTCTTCGTATAAGTTACCTGTATTAAATGACCACCTGTGTAACACAACTGTGGGCAACGATTTTTGATCAGAAACATCATACAACAACTGTAATAAGTGAACACTTTCACGAATATAACAGGTCTAAACTTGTTGGAACCCATCTCAACAACATTTTCTCCTCCTAAGATAATGAATTAGTCTAAACTCTTGTGCAAACCCACCTTGAGCACTTCTCCCACTCTTGAAATTATGAAATTAGGTGCAGGTGTTAATGAATTAGTCCAGCTACAAAGGAAATTCACTTCAGTTTGTTCGAAAAAATCCAAAAAAACGAAAGAAATGCAAAGTGCTGTCGTTAGAAGATCGTGTTAATGTTATCAGAGAAAGTGAAAATGGTTTATCACAACAGCAATTAGCAGCAAAGTTTAACTGGGAAAATGGAATTTATTGCACTGTAGATCTACAGTATTTTCCTTAGGGATCTAAAGTATTGTATATGAAAATTAATTGGCTGATCTCATCATTTGATAAAATTAATTTTATTTATTTTTTAAAGCTCTTATACAGTACATCTGCAATAAATAGTTTCTGTATCAACCTACCTTATTTCTGCAATATTTTTAGGAAAATAATATACAAGTAATTTTTGCATGCAAAATATTCAAAAAACAATAAACATATTAACACAAAAATCAGTTTTACAGGCAACTTTCCTTTGATTCCATGATTATCATTCCATGGTGTAATGAAATTGTATTATGAGAAGAAATAATAAAATCGTTTTATTATTAATTAATAATTTTTCTTATTGTACTTAAGAAAATATTAAATATTTTTTAAAAATTACAGTATTTTTAAAGTTAAAATTAGATTAAATTAACGAAAACCAAAACCAAAGTGGTGGAGAGACATGATGCACTTCTATATTCATGACGTAATACACGTAACTGAGGAGCAAACAAAGAGAACCAAGTTGAATTAATTAAGTTGGAAAAAAGAAATTTATAATCGAGAAAATGCAAATACTGTATTAATCTTTAAAGTATTGGTATTAAATCTGTGTTATAAAATCACGACGACTCCAGTTAATTGCATTATCTAATAATAATAATAAAATACAGTACCAATATAGCTGTATTGTTGAAAAAATTTGCTTATTTTTGCTCACCTTGAATTTTGCTAAGTAGAAATGGCTAAAAAGTGTACAAAATACATGTGGAAGTACGGTATTACAGCACCACCTGTTTTGGACAACCACCTGTCTAAAAGACCACTTTTTTGAAAGGAACCATGTGTGGTTGCCATAGACAGGTTTTACTGTACTTTCTTTGCACAATTATAGCAATTTTGTTTCAGTTAACCACATATACATTGCATTTTTTCCTGTATTGTCACCATTTTTAATTTTGCAAGCTGCTAACACTTTTAAACATTTGTACTAAAAAGTTTTTGAGTTATTTTATTTTACTGTAAACTACATTTCAATATACTGCTTTATGAATTTGTGTGATGATAAAGGTCTGTCTTAGACACTCTGTACTTAAAATTTTCATACAACACTTTGTTTTTGAATGAAACTTTGATATTTACTTTTACTAACTTGTATCAACATGTTAAATAGTTAGAATTTAATTAAATATTCAAAGATAACAGGGAAAAACTGAAAATCTTAATAAAAAAACTAGTAATTTAATAATTATCTTCCAGATATTAATCAGGTTGAAATATGGTTAATTATTTATAAAGATAATATGTAAATTCAATCAAAGATAGGAGGTTAAACTGCTATCTTGTATTAAATTTAATAATTAGAAATAAATTTAGAGATTGTTTTGCATCTGCATGATAAGCAAAAGTTGTAGGTTTGAATCCCATTCCAATCAATTTAAATTAAGTATAGTAAGTTTTTGAGCCAGAATAGAGTAATACTTTTTAAATACATCAGTGTATATATCTTTCTTAGTAATTTATATTGCTAAGCTTATATTAAAATAATGATAAAAAAAATATGAATGTCGTATCCAGACACTATAAAGTAGAAAATATTGAGTTCATTCCAATAAGCAAATTATACAAATCACATTATAACAGTTTTTAAACATATTAAAACAAGAAGTATTGTAATTTGTATGAAAATATGAGTTATCATTTAATCATTATCAGCACATCTTTATGATATAATCAAACATTTCATTAAAGAAGTAATAACATTTTAAATAATGATACAATCTTTTTATATATCAAAGTAGACTTTGGTAATTTGCATATTAAAGCAAAATTGTTTTATTAAGTTTATTATAATTTAATTGCTGAGAATATGATATAATGTTAAACATTATTAATAACAATATAAATAAATGTAGAACATTAATATAACAATTAGAAGAAGAGTTAAATATATTTAAAACTATTTTTTTAAATTTCTAAAGTAAATGCACATTATGATTGCTAAGACAGAATTCTTAAGTTTATCTTTTTAATGTTTTACATCTTGTCAAATACAGCAAATGATGAATGGTTAAGCAAACAATAATTATATTTTTTAATGCATTAAAAAACATTTACATAAAAAGAAAGGACTGATTCTTTTATCAAGGAAATTTGCTTTAAAATAAATTTAAATTTTTGTATTTTGCTAAATTCTTTACAAAAATTAAGGAAGATTTGAAAGACATTGTTATAAAATAGTCTCAAATCACTCATTATTCTACTTTTAAAAATTTAAACACAGATATAATCAGGAAGATTAATGAATGGAAGAAAGTGCAGATAGTATCTAATGCACGAAAATACTCTAATTATGATATACGAGGGCTGTTCGGAAAGTTCGCGGCCTCAAATAGAACAACAAACAAAATAATGTTAAAACTTTTTTTATTTTTCAATGTAGTCTCCTCTATTAGCAATGCACTTATTCCAGCGATGTTCTAGCTTTTTTATGCCATTACAATAGGTCGATTTGTCAAGGTGTGCAAAATACTCGTTTACTTCAGAAATGACTTTGTCATTTGAGTGGAATCTCTTTCCAACCAAGAATTATTTTAAATTTGGAAAAGGGTGGAAGTCACTGGGGGCCAAATCAGGTGAGTACGGTGAACGTGGAACTAATTGGAAGCTAAGTTCGTTTATCCACGTTTGTTCAGTGATTCTGGCATATCGTGGTGAAACAGAACCTTCTTCAAGTGTGGCCTCTTCGATTTCTTTCTTCAGTTTCTCCAAAAGTATACAGTAATAGACAGCATTGATGGTCTTTCCTCTTTTTAGGTAGTCAATAAAGATGATTCCTTTAGCATCCCCAAAAAACCGAGGCCATCACTTTCCCCGCTGATGGAACTGTTTTTGCCTTCTTT